CTTTGATGTTTAGGGCTCCTATGTTGTCATATATAATCGATTCACTTGTTTTTTCAGGTCTTTGTTGTGAGAGGGACCACAGGAAGCATCTGACTACTCTGCCATCTTGGCCCCACCCTCTAACTCTGGACTTTAAAATGTTTAATTGAAAATTTTTGGGAGGGTGAGCATGAAAATGCTTCTCTTGTGTTTATGCATAGATAGTTTTTTAAAATTTAAAAAATTTTTTTTGTACTTTAGATGAAGGCCCATAGCACAAATAGTTTCTCATTAAACAGTCAGTAGACATATTGTTTTATGATGTTGGTTAACAACCCAACGACATGTCGATACTCTCCCTTCTTGACCTTGGAGGATGTTTTTTTGGTGAAAATATATGTAGCCAAAGTTACACCATTTCAAAAGTTTCTACATGTACAATTCAGTGACATCAATTACATTCTTCCAGTTATGCTGCTATTCTCACTATCCTTTTCCAAATTATTCCATCACCATTATCTTCAAATCACTGCCCCCTAGGCTTCTCATCAAACATTTTGAGTTGCTGTTGTCAGTTTGATCTCACATAGTTTTTTTTTTTTTGTACCTTAGATGAAGGTTTGCAGAACAAATGGTTTCTCATTAAACAGTTGGTACACATATTGCCCTTTGACAATGGTTAACAACCCCACGACATGTCAGCACCGTCACTTCTCAACTTTGGGTTCCCTATCACCAGCTTATCCTGTCCTCTCCTGCCTTCTAATTCTTGTCCCTGGACTGCTGTGCCTCATTAGTCCCATTTTGTTTTATGAGGCTGTCCAATCCCTGGCTGAACGGTGAACCTCTGGAAGTGACTTCACCACTGAGCTAAAAGGGTGTCCAGATGGCATACTCTCAGGGTTTCTCCAGTCTCTGTCAGGCCAGTAAATCTGGTCTTTTTTTTGTGAATTAGAATTTTGTTCTACATCCTTTTCCAGCTCTGTCCAGAACCCTCTGTTGTGATCCCGGTCAGAGCAGTCGGTGGTAGCTGCGCACCAACTAGCTGTACTCTACTCAGTTTGGTGGAGGCCATGGTAGCCGTGGTCCATTAGTCCTTTGGACTAATCTTTTCGTTGTTATCTTGTTCTCTTCATTCTCTCTTGCTCCCGAAGGGGTGAGATCAGTGGAGTATCTTAGATGGCCGCTCACAGGCTTTTAAGACCTCAGACACGACTCACCAGGGTAGAATGTAGAACATTGTCTTTATAAACTGTGTCATGCCAGTTGAGCTAGATGTTCCCCGAGACTATGGTCCCCACAGCCCTCTGCCCAGCAATTCAGTCCCTCAGGGAGTTTGGAAGTGTCTGTGGAGCTTCCATGACCTTTCTTTGTACAAGCTGTGCTGACTTCCCCAGTATTGTGAACTGTCTTACCCTTCACCAAAGTTACCACTTTTCTATTGTCTATTTAGTTCCCCCTTCCCCCTTCCCATCCCTTGTAACCAACAAAGATTGTTACATTTTGTGTTTGAACTTTTTCATGGGTTTTTACAATAGAGGTCTCATACAATATTTGTCCTTTTGGGATTGACTTATTTCACTCAGCATAATGTCCTCCAGTTTCATCCATGTTATGAGATGGTTCACAGATTCATCCTTGTTCTTTATCGTGTAATACTCCATTATGTGTATGTACCACAGTTTGTTTATCCATTCATCTGTTAATGGGCATCTAGGTTGTTTCCCTCTTTTTGCTATTGTGTACAGTGCTGCAGTGAATATGGGTGTTCATATGTCTATTTTTGTGACGGCTCTTATTTCTCTAGGATATATTCCTAGGAGTGGGATTGGATTTTGTAGTGCTTTTTTTTTTTTTTAATTCAGGTGAAGGCTTATAGGACAAATAGTTTCTCATGAAACAGTAGTACATATATTGTTTTATGACATTAACAACCCCACAACATATTAACCCTCTAAATTCTCAACCTTTTTTTTTTTTTTGTTTGGTGAAAATACACATAGCCAAAGATACACCGTTTCAAAAATTTCTACATACACAGTTCAGTGACATTGACTATGCTCTTCCAATTGTGCTGTTATTCTCACTTAAGATGAAGGCTTACAGAACAAAATAGTTTCTCATTTAACAGTTACTACAAATGTTGCCCTATGACAATGATTAACAATCTCACAACACATCAACAATATCCTTACTCAATCTTGTGTTCCCTATCACCAGGTTCCTTGTCCCCTTCTGCCTTCTGGCCCTTGTCACTGGACTCCTGTACCTCGTTAGTCTCATTTGGTTTTACGGGGCTGTCCACTCCCAGGCTGAACAGTGAACCTCGGAGGTAACTTCACCACTGAGCTAAAAGGGTGTCTGGGAGCCATACTCTCGAGGTTTCTCCAGTCTCCTTTAGGCCAGTAAATCTGGACTTCTTTTTTGTGAGTTAGAATTATGCTCTACATCCTTCTCCAGCTCTGTCCAGAACCCTCTGTTGTGATCCTGGTGAGAGCAGTCATTGGTGGTAGCCGGGCACCATCTAGCTGCACTGGACTCAGTCCGGTGGAGGCCTTGGTAGCTATGGACAATTAGTCCTTTGGACTAATCTTTTCCTTGTTTCCTGTTCTCTTCATTCTCCCTTGCTCCTGAAGGGATGAGACTGGTGGAGTATCTTAAATGGCTGCTCACAGGCTTTTAAGACCCCAGACACTACTCACCAAGGTAGACTGTAGAGCATTGTCTTTATAAGCTGTGTCATGCCAATTGAGCTAGATGTTCCTCGAGACCATGGTCCCCAGAGCCTTCCGCCCAGCAATTCAGTCCCTCAGGGAGTTTGGATGTGTCTGTGGGGCTTCCATGACCTTTCCTTGTACAGGTTGTGCTAGTTTCCCCTGTATTGTAACACAGTGTTTATTTTTGTCTGACCAAAGTTTACTACATATTTGTTGTAAAATATAAAAAAAAAACGAAATCCAAACTTTCAGTAAACACTTATTAAAGAAGAAATATTTTCCCTAAAAATTACATTAACTGTGAATCTATAGTTTCATAAAGTACCTTTTTTGAAAATAGAGCCAGGCCATGTATTTTTTTTTAAATTTTATTGTTGTTGTTGAGAATATACACAGCCAAACATACACCAGTTCAAGTTTCTACACGTACCAGTGACATTAATTATATCCTTCGAGTTGTGCAACCGTTCTTATCCTCCTTTTCTGAGTTGTTTCTCCTCCATTAACATAAATTCACTTCCTCTAAGGTTCCTATCTAATCTTTCAAGTTTTTGTTGTCAGTTTGATCCCATGTAGGTAGTTGTTAAAAGAGCATAATGCTCAAGGCAGACATTTTTTACTAGTTAAGCTAAACTGCTGTTTGGTTTTAAGAAAACTTCAGGGATATTTTTGGTTTGAGGTTTAAAGAGTATCTCAGGGCAGTAGTTTCAAGGGTTCATCCAGCCTCCGTGGCTCTAAAAATCTGAATTCCATGAGAATGTGAAATTCTGTATTGCATATCCCCCCTTTTGATCAGGATACATCTACAGAGTCTGATCAAATTATTCAGTAATGCTAGCTGGGCACTATCCAGTTTTTCTGGTCTCGTGGCAGAGGAGGCAGTTTTTCATGGAGGTAATTAGCCACACATTCCATTTCCTCCATCTATTCCTGATTCTTCCTTCTTCTGTTGCTACAGGTAAATAGAGAACAATTGCCTTGGATGGCCTCTTGCAAGCTTTTAAGACCCCACACACTACACAGCGAACTAGGAGGTAGAACAGAAGCACTGAAAACATTATTAGGCCAATTAACTGGGATGTCCCATGAAACCATGACCCTAAACTTCCAAACCAAGGAGCCAAATCCCATCAGGTGTTTGGTCGTACATAAGTAGCCTCAGCGGCTACTCTTTTTGTTGTTGTCCTCGTTGTAAATATGTCTGTCACACTTTTGCCAGTTCATCTTTTTACAGATGTAGCGCTTATTGATACACAATAATCAGCTGTGCGACCTTACCCTTAATCAGTGCGAGTATTCTGTCACCATAAACTGAAACTCAGTACTCCATAAGCCATAACCCTCCCTTTCCCTCTCCCTCCCTCCTGATAACCACTAATAAACTTCAGTCTCTATACATTTGCCTTTTCTTGTCTTTTTATATAAGTGAGGTCATACAATATTTGTCCTTCTGTGATTGACTTATTTCACTCAGCATGTCTTCAAGCTCCATCCATATTGTAGCATGTATAAGACTTTATTTCTCCTATTTGCTGAGTAGTATTCCATTGTATGTATGTACTACATTTTGTTTATTCTTCATCTGTTGATGGGTATTTAGGTTGCTTCCACCTTTTGGCTGTTGTGAATAGTGCTGTGATGAACACTGGTATACAAGTATCTCTTTGAGTCTCTGCTTTCAAGTCTTTTGGGTATATACCTAGAGGTGGAATTGCTGGGTCATTTGGTAGTTCTATTTTTAGTTTTTTAAGGAGCCACCACACTGTTTTCCACAAGGGCTGTAGCATTTTGCATTCCCACCAGCAGTGGATAAGGGTTACAGCTTCCCTACATCCTCGCTGAGATTTGTTATTTTCTGTGTTTTGTTTTTGTTTTTTTTTTTTCATCTTAGCCATTCTAGTGGGAGTGAAGTGGTATGTCTGTTGTGGTTTTGATTTGCATCTCTGATGGCTAATGACCATCTTTTCATGTGTTTGGTGGCCATTTCATTGTCGTCTTTGGTGAAGTGTCTATTCAAGTCCTTTGCCCATTTTATGATTGGATTGTCTTTTTGTTGTTGTCAAAGTTTTATATATATTGTAGTTATTTTATTCTTATCAGATACATGGTTTCTGAAGATACCCAATTGATAGCTTGTTTTTCACTTTTTTGGTAAGGTCTTTTGATTAAGAAAAATTTTCAATATTTATGAGTTTCCTAGGCCATGAATTTTTAAAAGCACTCTTATTGAAGTGTGTTTAAAGAATTGGTGCCATAGTACTTTATACTTGGTAGCTAATATTACTCCTTTTTCCCCCCTTTCAGGTGGATGCACGGAGCATACCAGTGTTAGCAAAATGGCAAAATTCATATAGCATTAAAGTTGTACTTCAAGAGCTAAGACGTCTAATGATGTCCAAAGAAAATATGAAGCTTCCACAGCCTCCAGAAGGACAAACGTACAACAATTAATTTTAGTGGATCTCAAACTTGTCTTAAGTCAACAACCTTCTACTCATGTTAATGTCTTGATTAAGTATCACAATGCAAAATACCCACACATTAAGTCAAAGAATTCCAGCTGGTAAACATGACCCGGACATTTGTAAGAATACACTTAATACATGTACACTCATTATGTTTTCAGGTCACAGGTGGAAAAATGCAGCACTTCTCTCTTATCAAGGCACTGCCATTTAAGCATAAACCTGGAGTACTCAAAATAGAATTCAGGTTTACAAGATGATAGCTTGCTGGAGAAGTGCCAGGTTGCGGTGGAAGGATGTATTGTTCTGAAAACTAGTCTCCAGGAGGAAACTATCAAGGGCATGCTTTATCCATCTTGCTTAGTGAAAGAGCTGCAGTTTAAATTGTTTAAAGTAGCAGGTACAATGAATATTGTCGCAATTGTGTTAATTTTTGAAGCGGTGTGGGTTCTGACTACTAGTAGTATCAAAAAATATGTTCAAGATTGTTTTGATACCTGTATTTATAATAAAAAAAAAGTGGGAGGAGTCGATGAATTTCTGTTACAAGCTGTTTCTGCGTGTTACATGTAACAAACATGGTAAATGTGTGTTTACAGTCTTTAACAAACCATGCATTTAAGTTTTAGTGAAACCAACAAAAAAGAAACAGGTGTATGGATATGTGATTTTGAGATGAAAGTTCATCTTAAAATATAAATAAAATGTGGAAAGTGTGTCAGAGACTGTGCCATTTCTATTATATTGATATATATATCTACAGTACTTTTCACAGGTAACAAAAATCAGAATTATATAGCTTTTCATCTATACACACCTTTTACTATTTATCCTGTTTTGTATCCTTCTTGTGAATTGGAATTTTGCAGAGTATTTCAAAGAATAAATTACCTAATTAGTTTAATTTCTTTTTTGGAGAAGGAGGAATCCCAGGAATTAATATTTTGAATTTGATTTCACCAGAAATATTAGTAAAAAGATCTTTCAGTCCTAGCAGCTCTATAAAATTCATAGAATTATAGATTGCAGATTATCCAAATATACATTCCATTTTTTCTTAGAAGTTTTTTTTCCTTATTTTCTTGTGAAGCTTCAGGTTAATAGACTGGAGTAATTTGAGACACTTCTCCCACAATTAATGCTTTTTAACACTAAAATAGGATTAATTTTATCCATTCTGCCCAGCATCCGATCTAGCAAATGTGTAATTCTAAAGTTAAAGTTTATTTATGTTCTGCTTTTACCAAAGTGAGTTGAGGCTTTACATCACTGTTTTTCACTTCAAAGGACTGGCTGGGTGTACTGCTTTGTTAAAGCTGTTGTTTTCTTATGAATCCACTGAAGACAATAGAAAGGTATTCGGGTAAAGTCTTCTTTAGTTTTGGCAAGCTTAACCATCATATAAAGGAAACCATGATAGTCAAAATACCAAATTAGATGTTCCTACTTTTTGCTTATAAAGGGGAAAAAGTCAACCTTAGGTATAAAAATATTTTAGCTACTTTTATAGCACAAGGACAGATTTCTCAAAATATACCCCTGTCATGTTCTTGTCAAGCTCATTTAAAGTTAAAGCTTTAAGCTACATTTTCTTGGTCAATAGTATATTAAAGTCAGGGACATTTTGTCTAAACTAATTTCAAAATGCCTATTCTCTTTTAGGTTATCAAAGATGTTTAAGATGACAGAGAACATACACATACAAATTAGTAATGCATGCGTAAGTTATTAAAATAGATTTGAAATCAACTATTGAAAGATATTCTTAATTTTTTTTAAATGGTTGAATATGAGATTGAATTACCTTGACAGTATATAAAAATCTGATGGTAACTTATGGTTGGAATCAGTCTCAACTTTTTCCACTTTGAAATATGTCTTGTCATACATGGAAGCTTGTAACCATTTGAGTGCTGTTCAATTATTTCTCTCGGTGGCCAAGAATTTGGGTACCTTCATCTCTGTCCTCTTTACTTTCCCTTTATCCACCATTGTGAAAGTGGTTTTTCCCCCAAATGTATGTTGTCTGAGTTGGCCCTGTGATGTTTATTTCCCCTCTTGTTTTGGGGATTATGGATCTCTGTAGAAATTTGCATGCCAGTTTACCAGTTTTCAAAGCAGGATAATTTTGCATGTCACAATCAAATGTATATGGCAATCTAAGACACATTGGTTGATTATAGGAAGCAATTAATATAGAACCACTCTTAATTATAGTAGTGACATATCTAAGAGCAGTTTTGAAGCAATTTTTCCTTTGTTTTGTAAAGTGGCTAAGGTTGTTAGGAGTGTGTGATACTAACTTCTAAATGAATTGTAAGATTGCCTTAGATGTTTGTTTCAAAGGCTAGCAAGTGAGACCCTGAGGATGATCATATATTAATAAATGACTACAAAAATAAAATTCTTGTTCTATTAGGTCAGTGTTATGCTTTAATGATTTTAATTGGTTAGTAATTCATTTTCAGAATGGATAATTTTTAAAAATGTTTTTTCTATTATTTTAAAGTAATGACATTTGTTGTTATGGGCTTGTTATGTGCAACTTTACAATATTTTGGAACATAAACATTAGAAAGGATAGTGGTATTTCAGTCCTTTGAGTGTAAAAACAGAAAATTTGTAATGTAAAATTGTCCTTTTAAAAGAATTTATGACACTTCAAATTTGAGTAATTGTTTACAGAATGAAGTAGTTTGACATGTTTTATTAGATAATTCATAATGAAAACTAGTCCGGATTACTTAATATGAATACATTTATTTCAATGTTATTTCCCACTCAATATTTTTATAAAAACAAACAATGGGGAACAAAGTATTGATAAATATATATGAAATTAATATTGTTTTGGAATTTAGTGGACCCAGTTTGGTATTAATGCTTTTTTCCATAATAGGCTTGGTGAGTATGGCTTTGGGTGGTTCTGGTGGGTACATCATGGAAAGACTTAAAGCAATGAATTGTAGACTTCAGTTTAGTCAAACCATGTTAAGTCTTTTAATGAGCACATGGCTGTATTCTATGTACATTTTAAAGGATATGAGTACTAACAATAAAGTCTCATATGGGGGATATTTAAGGGATGGACTCCCCCCGTCCCCCTCGCCCGGATTTCCTTTTATAATTATACATTTCAGACATATTTAAGTGTAGAGTTACGGTATCATTTGTTGCTGGAAAGGGTGCAAAAGGCTTTATAGTACTGATTTTACTTTCTGATAAATATCAGTGTAGTTTTCTAGTGCCACCTTGGTTGACTTTTGGTTATTTTCACAAAAAGATTCCAATTATCAAGGTTTTGAAAAATTGTATATATTTTGTATATAAAACAGAAACATCGTAAAAAGGAATGAATGCAGTGTATTGTAGAATTGATTGGAACATTAGAGATCAGTTCCCACCCAAGATTGTGTTTTTATAATAAAAAAGGTGGAAATGCATGGGGATAGAATATCTTTTATGCTAAAATTAATCACGCCTTATGGAAGTTTGCTAGAGTAGGTGAAAATCTAACCATAGTTCATACTGAAAATAAACGTACGCATAAGTATTTTCTGAGGAGAAATTTAACAGAAGGCATTGATGATACAGAAGATAAATGACAAGTCAAAAGCATTGTTTTCTTAATTGTATGCGTTTTGGGAACTCATGGAGTGAGTACATGATAACATCACTGGATATGAAGAAATCAACATGGTATTTAAATCCTTAGTTGAATATTCTCATCTAAAAAAAGAAAATCATCATTTTTACATGTAGCCCACGTTTTTTTTTCTGCTTGTTTATTTATGACATCAGCAATAAAAACCAGATCTCACTTTTCTCAACTCAGATTCCAGGGAATCCTTTCTCAAGTGAATAACTGACCAAATGCCATTAAGGGTGGTGCCGAATGTACACTACGTTCTGCCACCACATGTAGACTTATTATGTGATTTCTTTTATCTTGTCCTTGTTCAATAAAATAAGTAGGTAGTTTAAGTTTATCTGGAAATTTTGGTAGCTGAAATAGTATACAAAAGCAAAGCTAATATTCTACTTCCAAATTAGAACTAACAGGTGGTACTAAGAAATCCATAGTAACAAGAAAGCTGTGCTTGGTAAAGAAACAAGTCATTGATTATTGATAGTGAAAACTTGGCATTAGGCCAGGTCCTTGTCCAGACAGTGATGGTCAGTGTGCCTTCAGCTCCACACTTTCATCCAACCTTGGTGTCACGTGGACCCACAGCTGTCTGCCCACATTGCTCTGCTTTGTATTTATTTGCAAAGCTATTTCACCTACCCGGGTGGCATTTCTGAACATTACCTTACAGGTTCCAAACCTCTATTCCCTGTCAATACGTATTCTTTCCCAAGCCTGGGAGTGTTCCCCACACAGAGCCATCTCTTTTTGCAGAACGAGTGAGATTTAGGTAAAAACTGCTAGATTTTATACCCCCAAAATATCCTCCAAAGTTCACATCTTAAATCTTCTCACTAAAAACTTCAAACTCATTTCTCTCTTCCCCAAACTGTGTTTATAAAGGGAAATCTTTAGATGAAGACATTACATTCCTGGAGAAGTGTCTGCCCTGATGCTGTCACCATAGTCATGGAGCAGGCCATATTGCCACTGCCGTCTTCACCTGTGTGGGTGTCAGCAGAATATGAAGGAAGGGACAGGGTTGAGAGAGACAGCCTTTGTTAGATAATGGAAATGCCAGGTTGTGGTGGGGAAGAGGAAACGAGCAGTGTGCTGCTGCCTTAGTTCTTGCCAGTGCTAGAACTGTTGAGGGTTTTTTTTTTTTTTTTTTAACAATGTATATTTCTCAAATATTATTGTACTTTAGGTGAGAGTTTACAGCTGAAGTTAATTCAAAAATTTATACACATACTGTTTTGTGACATTGGATACAATCCCCACAATGTGACAGCACACACTGCCCCTTTTCACCCTGCGTTCCCTGGGTCCATGCCACCAGTTTCTGTAGCTGCCTGCCTTCTCATCCTGCTTTTGGATAGGAGCTGCCCAGTTGGTCTCATAGATCTGATTGAACTAAGCAGCAGGTTCCTCATGTGTATTGTTTTTTGTTTTATAGTCCTATCTAATCTTTGAAGAGTGGGCTTGGAGAATGTTTCAGGTTGACAGAGCATCTGGAGCCATTGTTCTGGGGGTTCCTCCAGTCTCTACATTTTTGTCCCGCTCTGTCCAGAACTCTCTGTTGTGTTTCCAGTCAGAGCCGTCATTGATGGTAGCTGGGCACCATCTAGTTCTTCTGGTCTCAGGCTAGTGGAGTCACTGGTTCATTTGGTCCTTTAGGCCTTTTGGCTAGTATTTTCCTTGTGTCTTTGGTTTTCTTCATTCTCCTTTGCTCCAAGTGGGATGGGACCAATAGATGTATCCTAGATGACTGGCAAGCTTTTAAGACCCCAGATGCTACTCACCAAAGTGGGATGTAGAACATTTTCTTTATAAACTATCTTATGCCGGTTGACCTGGATGTCCCCCAGAACTATGGTTCCCCAGGCACCAGCCCCAGCTACTCTGTCCCTCAAAGTGTTTGGATGTGTTTAGGAAACTTAACCTGCTTTTGCTTAGGTCCAGTTGTGCTGACTTCCCCTGTGTTTGTGTGTTGTCCTTCCCTTCACCAAAGTTGACCCTTGTCTACTATCTAGTTAATGATTTCCCCTCTCCCTCCCTCCTCACCCTCATAACCATCAAAGAATGCTTTTTTCTGTGTTTAAACCTTTTTTTGAGTTCTTATAATAGTGGTCTCATACAATATTTGCCCTTTTGTGACTGACTTCTTTGCTCAGCATAATCCCCTCCAGATTCATCCATGCTGTGAGATGTTCCACGGATTAATCATCGTTCTCTATCATTCTATAGTATTCCATTGTGTGTATGTACTGTAATTGGTTTATCCATTCATCTGTTGATGGGCATTTAGGTTGTTTCCATCTTTTTGCTATTGTGAACAATGCTGCAGTGAACATGGGTGTGCATATGTCTGTTCGTGTGATGGCTCTTATTTTGGGTATATTCTTAGTAGTGGGATTGCTAGATCGTATGGTATTTCTATTTTTAGCTTTTTAAGAACAGGCCGTTATTTTCCAAAGTGGTTGTACCATTTTACATTCCCACCAGTAGTGAATACAAGTTCCAATCTTTCCCCAACCTCTCTAACATTTGTTATTTTGTGTTTTTTGGATTAGTGCCAGCCTTGTTGGATTGAAATGGTATCTCACTATAGTCTTGATTTGCATTTCCCTAGTGGCTAATGATCGTGAGCATTTCCTCATGTGCTTGTTAGCTGCCTGTATGTCTTCTTTGGTGAAGTGCCTATTCAAATCCTTTGCTCATTTTTTTTTTTTTAAATTGTACTCTAGATGAAGGTTTACAGAACAAACTAGCTGCTCATTATACAGTTAGTACACATATTGTTTTGTGACATTGGTTACCAAACCCCACAACAGGTCAGCATGCTTTCCTTCTTCACCTTGGGTTCCCTATTACCAGCTTTCCTGTCCCTGCCTGCCTTCTAGTCATTGTCCCTGGGCTGGTATGTCCCTTTAGTCTCATTTTGTTTTATGGGACTGTCTAATCTTTGGCTGAAAGATGAACTTCAGGAGTGACTTCATTATTGAGCTGAAAGCGTGTCCAGGAGCCATACTCTCGGGGTTCCTTTGCCCATTTTTTAATTGGATTGTTTGTTTTTTGTTGTTTGAGGTGTTACAGTATCTCGTGGATTTTAGAGATTAGACCCTTATTGGATATGTTGTAGCCAGAAATTTTTTCCCAATTCGTAGGTTCTTTTTTTACTCTTGGTGAAATCTTTTGATGAGCATAAGCATTTGATTTTTAGGAGCTTCTGGTGTTTGTGCATTGTTAGTTATGGTTTGTATACTATTTATGCCATGTATTAGAGCCCATAGCATTGTCCCTATTTTTTCTTCCATGATCTTTATCATTTTAGATTTTGTATTTAGGTTCTCAAAGATTTTAAATGACTTACTGTTACATAATAGACATTTGTTGATTTAATACTTTACCCTTTAGTTAAGTGCGATGTTAGGTTATCTGCAGTACTGTCTGTTTGAGTTATGTAGTGCTGCTATAACAGAAATACCAATAATGGGTGGCTTTAAGCCAAAAAAACCCAAACCCATTGCCATGGAGTTGATTCCGACTCACAGTGACTATGTAGGACGGAGTGGAACTGCCCCATAGGGTTTCCAAGGAGCACCAGGTGGATTCGAACTGCTGACCTTTTGGTTAGGGGCCATAGCTCTTAACCACTATGCCACCAGGGTTTCCAACCATAGGCATAGAGGTTAGAATTTACAACACATATTTTGGGGGGTGTCATGGATTGAATTATGTCCCCCCAAAAATGTGTGTATCAGTTTGGCTGGGCCATGATTGCTGGTATTGTCTGATTTTCTATATGTTGTAAATCCTACCTCTATGATGTTAATGAGGGAGGATGGGTGGCAGTTGTGTTAGTAAGGCAGGACTCCATCTACCAAGATTGGATTGTGTCCTGAGGCAATCTCTTGAGATGTAAAAGAGAGAAGTGGGGTGAGGGGGGACCTCATACCACCAAGAAAGCAGTGCCAGAGCAGAACGGGTCCTTTGGACTTGGGGTCCCTGCACAGAGAAGCTCCTAGTCTGGAGGAACACTGATGAGAAGAAGGCCGACTGAGAGAGAAAGCCTTCCCCTGGAGCTGATGCCCTGAATTTGGACTTTTACCCTACTTTACTGTGAGGAAGTAAACTTCTCTTTGTTAAAGCCATCCACTGGTATTTCTGTTATAGCAGCACTAGATGACTAAGACGGGGAGGACACAATTCATAGCACTGTCTATTGTAAGATCTTTATTTATTTTTTTTCTCTCTAGTTCTAAACTTCAGTGCGTATGTTCTGCGCTTAGATAGACAAGCCTTTTTATACATTCCTGTGGTTATGCTGTTATTTAAGGCATCCCTGTTAGCACTTTTGCTTGAATATAACTATTCTCTAATTTTTAGACCATTCTTTTGAGAAAAAATTATCTAACAGTGAAGGCTGTAAATATTTGATCACCACTGAGTTTTAACATCCCTGGGTAAGGGAGAAGTCAGCTACTTGTCAAGAGACGGTTATGTTAAGGGTAGAATTAAAGAGAATAACGACAAGAGGTACATTCATGTTAGGGAGCGTTAGTGTTAGAAATATTTTCATCACTGAAAAGTACAAACTTGTTTCCTGAATTGTCCCCAAGCAGAGTAAAGGTGCAAATAAAAACCCCATGATGACTTCCAGAACTTTATTATTAACTCATTTTCTAAATATAGTTTAGACTAGATTGTAATTTTAATGAGTTATGTATAATTTGAAACAAATTGAAAAGCAGTTTGATGGACAACAATTGTCAGTCTCTTTGGGAAGTGGAGTGCTGTCAGTGCTCCTCTGAGGTGGATGTGCATGATATGAGGAGTAGGAGAGAGTACTGTGAACCGCAATCTCACTGTGAATGACAGCAGTCTGAGGACAAGATGGCCCACAGACGGAAGTCAGGGTTGGACAGGGAGAGTCAGGCTCCTGTTGCATCTGAAGCCCAGCCTCACCCCTACCCTTATATGGTTATGTGAGCTATTATTATGGTTACAATTGTTTGCCTTGTGTTTCTGTCACTGTGAGCAAAAGAGTCCTGATACAAGTTATGTATCACTCCTGGAAGTGTTATTGGTGTTACTGAGTGTCTCCTTGAGCACTGGTTTTGGCACCTGTCTCCAACCTGCCATCACTGGCTGGATGGTGTCACCCACCAGAAAGACCTTTCAACTTGACTCTCAAAGGTAACCACATAAAGATTGGATGTACAGGAAGACAGCCCACATTGGAGCTACCTTGTATGAAACGCTGCCCAATAATAGGGCTCTTTATTGGGGCGTGATGACCAACAACCCAATCAGGTCCTCTTGCCTAAGCATGAGTGCTTCATATGCCCAGGATGGGTCATGGGTTGAAGCTAGTCAGACAACACTGGCGTGTTGCTCTGCTACTTCGCGAGACCCACCCCTAGGTCCAGCCTTGGAGATGTTGGGGCCCTGAAGTCAGGTGGGCTGGAGGGTGAAGTTCTATCATACCTATAGTTCTTTCTTTATGACATTTTTAATATAATTTTCTTTGTTGTTGAGAATATACACAGCAGAACATACAGCAATTAAACAATTTCTACATGTACCATTTAGTGACATTGATTTCATTCTTCTGAGTTGTGTAACCATTCTCACGTTCCTTTTCTGAGTTGTTTCTCCCCCATTAACATAAACCCACCACCCCCTAAGGGCTCCTATCTAATCTTTTGAGTTGCTGTTGTCAATTTGATCCCATATAGATAATTCTTAAAGGAACATAATGTGCAAGGCAGACATTTTTTAACTAGTTACGCTAAAATATTTGGTTTTAAGAAGACTTCTAGGGGATATTTTTGGTTGAAGGTTTACAGATGATGCCAGGGCAGTAGTTTCAGGGGCATACCTGTATTTCCATGAGCTTCTCATTTCTATATTTATTATAAATCTGGATCGACTCGATGGCGCCCAACAACAAAAAAAATTGAGACATAAAATCACACCATAAAATTCACCATTTTTAAGTGTCCAATTCAGTGGTTTTTACTCTATTCATAAGATTATGTGACGATCACCACTATCTAATTCCAGAACATTTCCATCACTCCTA